TAAACTGTTATTTACATATCACTACAGAATTGATCTGAATTTTCCTATGTATAACATTCAATCAAAGAAGAAGTGTTAGGTTAAGAGCAATGGCAAGAAAGAAATTATATTGAATTTTATTTTAATCATTTCACCCCAAGCAAGGCAATAAAGCCACTAAGACGCAAGAGGTTGCCGTGTGTTAGAGAACATGTGAAATATATATTATTATGGAGAAAGGACATTAAAGGAACAAGAATTAAGAAGACAGAAGATTACGATTGACCTTGCATTTAAATTTTTAAAGGTCAAATTTGGCTGCAAAGGAAGCAACCAAAAAAGTCCCACAAGTGCGATAGAAGAAACTGTTAGCAAAGGACTTACGTTTATATTTATCCATTTCAACTGTAAAATGATGAGGCCTTCTTTTCTGCTTTTAAATTCATATTCTAGGTACTATAGAGGGGAGTTTATCAAAACAATTAGCATGAAAGTATTTATAGAAATGGCAGAGAGAAGCTACGTTAAGGCGATGAGGAAACTGACTGAAGCCGAGATGCCAAGTCAGGGCCCAGATAAACATCATATTGGCTTGATACGCAGTGATCGATGGTGGATAGTAAGCGACATAGGATCAATCAATTCCAGTTAGCTGAATACTGTAATGTTCGAGCGGGTCAAAAAGGAACGCGTCCCTCAGGGAGAAGTCAAGCTGGCGAAAAAAAAAAAAAAAAAAAGATAGACTGACTACACTTTTTCAAAAGATAATGATATTAAAGTGTAGAAAGAAATGATTCTTCTTCTATGTGGCATGTCCCTTCAAAATGAAGGCGATCATGACTCTCCACAATTTCCTGTGTTTTTGTAGCTCTTAATAAATTTTGTCTTTTTGTTATTTTTCATAAACTTTGTTCCGCCATCCATTTACTCAAGCTAACTTTTTGACGCCTTGTTTTCCACTGTCCTTCTTGCCTTCAATCTGTCCTGTGAGTATCAGATTTTCCAAACCCTCTTTCCTTATTATGTGCCTTAGACATTTCAACTGCAATATGATAAGATGTTGGCGCCAATCTAGCAGTACTCATAAATTCATAAAATCTAGCTCCCATAGAGGAGAGTTCATCAGAACAATTATCACGAAAGTATTTATTGACAAGGCACAGATGAGCTACGTTACGGCGATGAGGAATCTGACTGATGCCATGTCAAGACGAATAACAGATTACAGATTCTTCTTTGGATTGTATAAAGAATCTCTAAGTATATAGAAGAAGTACCAGATCAGATGTGAAAGCAATATTCAAATCAAGGACGAATGGTTGACTTATAAATATGTAAGATAGATTCGAGCGAGAAAAACTGCTGAGCTTGACACAGTGAACCAAATTTCTTAGTTGTCCTAGGCCGTAAATAGTGAACTTTTTCCCCGCTTGAATCTTTGACATTCAATTCAGTAGATTTACTGAATATACCAGAATAGTAAACTAACCTTATCAGTTAATATAATAGACGCGTCAGATGACAACCACAAACTATCAACAGTTATAGTGGATTTACCACAAGCCTACCCGTCGGTAACCGTTCGGGATATATGGTCAGCTGAAAATGAAACATGAAAACAAAAACAGATGCAAGATTGTGACGTACAATTATTAAGATACAGATTACAATTATTAAGTACAATTATTAACCTATGAAGTATAATTCTTAACATAGGAAGACAGTTATTAATATATGAAGCAAAATTATTAACTTACAAAGTGCAATTATTAAAATATGAAGTACAATTAACATATGAAGTACAATTGTGAACAGATGGAGTACAATTATTAACACATGAGGTATAATTATTAACGTGTAAGTATAATTATGAACTTTACTCGAAAATATTGGATTGGTGCGTAATTATCAGGCGTTTTTGTAGGCGAGTTATTTATTAATACAAATTGCTGTTTTGTTTCTGTTTTTTTTTTTTACTATTTTTAATAATAATATTATTTTATTTTCAGGTTATAAAAATGCGTGTCAATAAAATACTCATTTAAAAATGTTATTGTTGAATTGTTTCTTTTTTTTTTTTTCATAATCAATATTGTTTAAAAACGCCTGATAATTATGCACCAACCCAATAATCCGGTAGTAAATTATTTAAACGTCAATTTGGTTAATTGTCTTAATTTTAATTAATTTATTTCAATATTTAGCACCTTCTTTACAGGTGAACCTCACCGGAGTGAAGTTAATCTATATAACGACATTTATTTTGAGCGTTCCATGATATTATTTTTGTTATATATGGAAAGCACACAGCGCGTATATCACTGAAAATTGAAAAATTGAAAAATATCAAACGTAGAGGGAAAAGACTTTACATATATTGACTTCATACTGACGAAATGCCCCATTAAAGGAAGTGCAACATATTAAAATCAATTACCGTATTTTCCGGCTTACAAAACGCTTCGTCTTGGAAGACACACCCTAATATTGGAAAGAAATTTTTAAATACTGGCGCTATGTATGGTTTACATTAATTACTCGTCCGATTATGTTTTTATGGCAATGACATACTAGTCAAGAGCAGAAAGGCTCCCGACACTGCTAGTAAAGAGAGCATGGTTTAGCTTGTGACTCAGCTCCAGGAAGGTTTATAGTCTTGAAAATACATGTAACAGCTAAGTACTGAGGCTACATCATATAAAAGGCTGAAAGAATTAGATAGCTAACATTATAGTGTGATGATTCAACATATAAATCCACAACCCTATCACTCAAGCCAGTTAGGTGACCACCTAAGCTTACTTGAGCTTGGACGTTGCTTTGCATTTATTATTCGCTTGCTTAAACTCAACGTTGATTCTGATTCCGCAGAACTGGGTTGGGCGTGAAAAACTATTTGTTGTTAACATTCTTTTTTCATTCGTTTTTTCCAGTTACGAGTCCTTTTTTAAAGCTGATCGTTTTGTGTTCATTTTGTTTAGTTCTTTTTTCCGTAACAGATTTAATGTTTAGTATAGAGTTTAGAAAAAATTCGCAGTGTGAGATAGGCAAGAAGTAAGGTATGTAGCAACATCAGCACGGCAAAGGGCACTCCTTTAAAGGCAAGGAAGGGCAAAAATATTTTAAGTCAAGTGATAGCGATTGCTGTATGAGTCGTACGATTTTTGAATCAAGCACGGGCAACGCCGGGCCATGCTGCTAGTTATTTAATAAAGGGAAATACATTGCGATGAAATACGACTAAAAAGGGCGTTAATCAGCTATTTAGCAAAAGAAACAAAATAAATCTCCCAGTCAATTTAAATTAGTTTTTGAGATACAGCAACGTATTTTGCTCATTGGAAATATTAAATTTAATCTATGAGCTTGAAATTTAAACTAAAATAATAGCTTCAAGAAAGATTTTTCGTTTTAGGACATTTATTTTAATCCTTAGCTATCACATTTTTTTATATTCTTTGAGGCATCTTCTCTTAATATCTATTCTTAAGTCGGAGCAAAAATATTTGCAGTTTTTTAACCAACAACCTTTAGACAGCATCTCTCAGCTTAGAATAAAATTTCTTTACAAAAATAAGAACGAATTGAATATTGACATTGTTGCCAACTGCAAACAAATCTATTTATTCCAGTAGCCTGGATTTCTTTGGTTCTAGAGCTAATAGATGCTTTAACAGCACTTTGAGGTACTACTTAGTTACAGAAAAATTATCTGAGGTAAAAATTGTGATCGTAGAATCCTGGACTCTGACACAGTGTGTCCACAAAGTGATTACAATCGACAAACTGGAGCTTGTTTTCCATATTTAGCTGTTTCATTTTTTTTTTTGGTGTTCTAATATCCGACATTGTTTCGATAAACCAAGACACACATTGTGCCTTTTATTTTCCTTGAATATTTCCTTTTAGGGGTGTCAGTGAAGTGCCATACGCTATCATGTCCGTTTCGATTCATGGATAACGAGGCTGAAAATTTTTTCGTTGCCATTTTATAGACTGGTTGCCAACCAATGCTATAGAACCTAGTCTGTCTTGCAATTAAACTCATACCTGTTTTTTTGTTTTTTTTGCGGGGGGGGAGGCTTTTTCTAGAGATTGATATTTGTACGAAAAAAATATCCATTACACCAAACCGCGCATTTTAGTGGTAGCTCCTAGTAATTCTTTAATTGTGAACTGAAGCATAAAAAACAAAAAAAAAAAACAATAATAAACTACTTTAATAATAACATTTTTATATGTAACAAAAATTTAGTTGCCACCTCTTCAAACTTTTTCGTAATGACTTTTTGAAATTGTCTATAAAAATATTTCCCTATTTCTCTGACCTTATGCCAAATTTTTTATAAGTTTTTATTTATCATTCCATCTTGATAAACCGTTTATGTTATAATAGATGTATAAGAGTTGAAGAATTTCCGTCCCACTTCCTGAAATCTGACCAAATACCATAATTATTATTTTTAGATTCCTTCTTGGTCAGTTCGAGAACTTTTCAGTAATCTCTCGAATGAATAATAATTGTTGTATGTCGATATAAAAAGCATGTTATATAATATCCTAATATTATAATATAATAATGAATAAATGAGTAAATCACTGTCTAATAATTGATTTCGCAGACAAATCGGCTTAAACGTAACCAATTTAGAAGCAGCATGTACTTAGAAGCCTGTTTATATAGTTTCATTCCTGCAGGTCAAATTTTGTTCCATTGCTAAAGTCAGTTTCCCGGAAACTTTGCCAAATACAATGTGGTTCTAATTTAAGGGCTCTTGATATTTTTTTCCCCAACCGAATAATGTAAATCGTCACATCTGGCAACTTTTCACGAGGCCTCAGCCCTTGGGAGTATTCTCGTGGCGATAAAAGTTGAAACTAGACATTTTAGTCTGCGTGTACAGCTTTACATTGATTCTAGTCTCCATTGCGTATGAATAAGTAATTCGCAGTTTACATTGGTTATATTAATTTTGCTTCTCTGAGATTTTTTTTTTTGTTTAGACAAAGATCGGCAGTAAGGCCACATCACGTTGAAACACCGGTTCCCGTACGATCACCGAAGTTAAACAACATTGAGCATGGCCAGTACCGAGATGGGCGACTTCTTGGTTGGGAATACCAGGTGCTGTAAGCTTGGATGGGCATGTTGTTGTGTTGGATTATGTTAATCGGAGAGCTGAGTTCAAATTCCGGCCGGGTTCATTATATTCACTTACGCGCAAATAACCTTGAATCCAACTTCTCTCCCCCCCAGGTATGGGTTAATTAGTAAGACTTGTATCACTATCATTATTATCTCCAAAGAAGTTATAGAACTGCGTAAAAATATTTAGATTTCGTCATTAAATAACCCGTAGAGGTTGATATGCCGCTAAACAAAATCAACCAAGTAACCAATCAGCAATAAGTGAATTTAATATATATATATATATATATATATATATCAATAATAATTTTTTTTAAAGAGGTTTAAAAAAAGATTACTAGAAGTAAACTTATATCTTAAAATAAAATTTTGTACTTTCTGTGAATATTTTTCTAATCGACTATTTCATAGAAAATCCCCAAAATTAAAAAAAAAAAAAATCACTAACAAACATCAAATTAAATTATTTGTAGACAGTCTAGAGACATTCAAATTTATTTCAAACAATATAATCTTTATGAACCCCCAAAATAACACTTTCAAAGTAAAGCAAAATAAGAGCGTCTGTTTCTAGCTTTTTTTACGAAGAAAATTAGCGACATCTTTTCTTCTCTCTTAACTTCCTTCTCTCCTTTTCTCTCTATGGGTTTTTTCTTCTCTACCCCTTCGATATCAATATATAACTTCCGTTTAAATGTGTCAATATCTGCTAATTCACTCATGTCTTCTCTCTCCCCCCCCGCCTCACTTCCTCACTTCGTTAATTTACATATGTTTAATACGGCCCGTCAAAAATGTGTAAATTATCTTTTCATTTTTTGTTTGGAAGTAAAGTCTGTGGTGAAATAATTTATGACATGTAACCTTAAAGTGGTCTGTTTTTATTTAAATTATTTGCTCTGAATTTACATTGAGCTCTCTGGATTTTATCCTCCTTAGGTTTACCCATACGTATTACCTAGTTTTCCATAAACTATATATATATATATATATATATATATATATATTTTTTTTTTCTCGTTCTTGGGAATTGGCAACAAAAATAATAAACCGCGAAGTGGGGTTTTTTTGTGAAAAGTATTTTTTCAAAGAAATTAGCTTCTTCAAATTTTGATCGATTGGTTTGTGAAATTGAATGAAACTTAGAGTTTGTAAATCTCAAGAAAAAATGTTAGCGATACTAAATACTAAACAATACTAAATATTGTGAGAATTTCAACAGACGTCAGGGTGTTGCAAAAAAAAAAAAACTTTCAGTACTGAAAAATGACTATCAAAGGAAAACAAAATGGTTGTGTAAAGTTTTTTGCTCAACCTTTATCAAGAAGTATCATTGATAAAATATGAAGTAATAAAACAAAATCACCAATAAAAATGAAGCAAATATTAATAAACTACTTTAATAATAACATTTTAATATGTAACAAAAATTTAGTTGTCACTTCTTCAAACATTTTCGTAATGACTTTTTGAAATTGTCTAAAGACATATTTAAAGTAGACATTGTCATCTCAGAGGTGGTGGGGGAGGGAAATGGCAACAGATAGTTGGCTTGATCTCCATTAGGCATTTTTAGGTATTTAGGTATTTTTTGTTACGCTTTTATAAGCCATCTTAATCAGGAAACTCTAACGGGGTTTTTGGCAAAAGTATTTTTCCAAACAAATCAGCTTATTCAGATTGGTTTGTGAACGTGAAAGAAACGTAGAGTTTGTAAATCCCAACAAAAAATTTAAGCACTAACTTCGACAAGATTAAATATTGTGAGGATTTCAATACATGTCAGCATGTTGAAAAAAATTTTAGTGTTTATAAATTTATGAATAAAACATTGTTTTCACAATTATTTCTTTATAAATTGGTAAATGATCAATATTGCATTTCATTAGTTTTTGGAATGTTGTAAATATAAAATCATTCTTGTAAATAAACACTAATAAATAGTTTTAATATTGTTGTAAATTCTCAATAGCAAAAAAAAAATGTATAAATTCACTTACATCATACGTTTATGTTTTATTACCATTCTAATCATCGTTTTTTTTTAAACAATAAACACTTCCGCGGAGTAAAGGTAGTTAAAATAATAGCGGTGTCAACGGAAAAATTGTCCTTTTGCGGGCACGAAGGTCCATGTTTAACGGTTTCTTCATAATCCTTCATCTGAAATTAATCTTTTTTATTCTACACCCACAATTTTACAGTAAACCAAGAATGCGTCTTCTCACCAGATTTATATAATCATTTCAGCGGAGTGTCCTAAATGATCCAGATGTCCTACAAGAATTAATTACTGGTGGTCACAATCCTAACAACATAAGATACTCAGATAACCGGCTTGATAACACAGACACAGAGAGAAAATTGCAGGAATCTGTAGACAGGTAGGAAAAGAATGCGCGAAGAAAAGACTATTTAGTTTCACGAAGAGCGTGCTACAAATGAGAAATCTTGAAATCAAGCATGTACGAAAATTTAAACATCTGCGAAGTATTATAACAGAAGATAAAAAAATGCTATGCAGAAATCAGAAGGCCTATTTGAATAGAGAAAGATGCCGAACCAAATCCTAAGAGAATATTTAGAAACATGAAAACTGTAGTGAGAAATAAATGTAAGGGTTTTCTATTTTGATGTACTATCAATACCGCAATGAATGCTGGTCATTTTCCTCACAGATCAAGTGGAGACAGGCGGCAACAGAGAGAGGTGGTTTTCCATGGAAGAATAACATGGACTGAACATGAGTGCAACGAGGAAGTTTTAAGGAACAGTAGGAACGAAAAGGAAGCGTGCTTAGGATCAGAAAAAAAGTTCAAATATCTGGGATACACCGGGTGTAACAGTAAAATTGTCCAAATAGTGTAACAGCATAATTGTCCAAATAGTGTAACAGCATAATTGTCCAAATAGTGTAACAGCATAATTGTCCAAATAGTGTAACAGCATAATTGTCCACCCCACAAAACGTTTAATATCTAAAAAATAAAACTAAACTAATTGAATTTCTTTTTCCCAGGTTTCCCGATAAGACGCGTAGCCATCTTGACACTATTTGTCGTAAGAATCACTGAAAAATCCTTTGAGCTATTCAGCTAGAAAAAAAAACAGGTTAAAATCGTTTTGTGTCAGTCCCGCAATGGTGAGAGGAAAAAGATCAGTCAGGCCTTCAGTAATGGTACCAACATTCATACTCTAGCTTCCATCTTCTAATTCCGTTCAAGAACCATCAAGAGAACGGGGAATAAGTTTTAAAAAGAGGGAACAGTAGAGAGGAAAACTGGATCAAGAGGTCACAACAGCAAGAGGGCTCATTTGTCAATTTAGAGCGAACGAGATCAATTAGAAAAGATCCAACTCAGTCCATAAGACCTTTGGCACGTCAGATAGGAGTTTCCCGTACGACAATCCAAAAAGCAGTGAGAAAAAGGACTTAAAAATGAAATCGTGTGAGGCACTTTGTAATGTTCAGGGCAGAATGTTAGAAGGTTAAATAGGGTGAAGATCATCTTGAATAAGTTGGAAAATGATCGTGGAATATATATATATATATATATATATATATATATATATATATATATATATGAACTTTATTTCAATCTTTCATGAGCTTCCGATCCTTAGCTATGAATAATTAATGAAGAACATGTGATTTTCTTTTATGATTAAATTCATCACGAATCTTCTGTTAATCTTGGGGAGTAATTCTGCATTCTTATTGCTCAAAGTAGAATTCCATTAAGGTATCTTTAATCATTTCTAAGATACGACGGTTGAAAGCGTAATGTAATAATTGAACAATTTTGCTGTTACACAATTTGAACAATTTTGCTGTTACACGATTCGGACAATTTTGCTGTTATACCCGATAAAATAAAAAAACTAAAAGTCTTGGCGAAATTGTCACTGAACATCTTGATGGCAAGGAGGGGAAAACTGGGAGTTAAATACCTAAGGAATTGTGTCAATGGACGACAGAACAAGAATTAGAAAGGACAGTAAACAGACTGACATTAATTTGAGCTATGAACTATAGAAATATATGGAGAGCCATGATCGCTCACGTGCTGAAAGGAGGCGGTGCGTAATACATCTGATAGAATTTTACTGTAGAAACGATTGTAAGTATCAGTAACGTGTTTGAAAGAGCGTCGTAATTACCACCAGCGTCAGTAATCGATGTTCCAGTGGAAGTCAGTCTTCCGAATGTTGATTGTCAAAGCAGGTTAGCCTTGACAATTTCAAGACTGGTTGTAATAATCTTTCTATATCATTTCCATTCGCCCAACACAAAACTTATCCACATGTCTCTCTAAATTTAGTCAATATCTATACCACAATGACCTATTTTTTTTTTTTATGTTTTGTGTTCTATTTAAACGACCAAGTCTCCCTCCTTTTGTTGATATTATTTCTAAGATTTAATCGTTTCATTCGAGGCGTTTTACAGTTAGTTTTTTTCTTAATGTCATTGATCTTCTACTTCTTCATCATCATCATCATCATCATCTTCTTCTTCTTCTTCTTCTTATTATTATTATTAATAATAATAATAATAATAATAATAATAATAATAATCTTTTTCATCTTCCTCTTCTCATTATTCTTCTTTTTCATCTTCTTTTTCATTTTCTTTATCTTCTTCCTCTTTTTCTACTACTACTACTGATTCTTTTTCGTCTGTTCTTTTTTCAAGCCCAATTTTTTCTTTATTATTATTATTATTATTATTGTTGTTGTTGTTTTTGTTATTGTTATTATTATTATTATTATTATTCCCTTTTCATTTTCCTCTTTATTCATTTCTTTCACGTGTTTTTTTCTGTCTTCTTCATCTTCGTTGTTGTCTTATTCTTCGTATTCTCCTTCGTTGTTGTTTTCTTCTGCATATTCGTTACCGACTTGGTTGCCATCTTCTTCGTCGTCTTCAGTGTGACACTGTCCTTTTCTTCTTCTTCATTGTAGTCGGCATTTTCTACTTCATCG